GGAGCGTTTGATAAAACAACCTTTCCAACAATTACCCAGCAACTACACTCCAGGAATGTACCCCTGGTAGTAGGAGAATGGATACTCCAGATGCTCTCTAGCAGAGCAATAAGTATTAATGTAGAAGACATCACAGTAAAAGGACTGGTCATGAGGGGATGTCCACAGGGAGGGGTCTTATCACCCCTTCTCTGGAACATAGTTCTGGATACCCTAATTAATCACCTTAACAAAAATGGATTCTACACAATTGCATACGCAGATGACATAGTTATCTTGCAGACCGGCAAATTTGTAAACACACTGTGCGATAGAGCGCAGGATGGACTCAAATTATTAGAAACATGGTGTAAGGAACACTCACTGTCGATCAATCCCAAGAAGACTGAGATGGTCCTTTTCACCAGGAAAAAAAAAATTCAGGCTTTAAACCTTCCGAAATCTTCCGCGTGGTTACCCGGATCTACACCGCAATTATAACGTACGTATGTTAACGTATAGAGCCATTCCATGGGGACCACTCGATGTTGTGTGAGTGGTCCCAAGCTGAGATCTTGCACAAAAAGGAACATTGGTTTAGGAGAAAATTCAAGGAAGCCGCATACATGTTGTCCAACAACGTATTCAGCTAAGCCAGCGTAGAAATACGCAACATATGGAAACCCATCATCAAGCGAAAAATGGCCAACTTCCGCAAAACGGTCATCTCCCACGGAACCAGTGAAGCGGAAAATGGAAAGCGGGGATAAGTGAAAGTACTCAAACGACCTATAAATAGTCATCTCTCGGAGGAATCAGTCCAGTCATCACCTGAAGACGATTGTAGATGCTAACAATCGAAACGTCGTGAACTAACGTGACAATTGTTCTATTTTTACTTGTATTTTATTTCACTATTATTTCATTTCAGGTTTATTTTGCTTAATATAATTGTTATTTTCAGCTATTCATTTTTAATTATTTTTTTTTAGTTGTTTCAGGGATTTCAAATCATTTTATACACTCTGTCCGTAAAGAATGGAACAAATTCATTTTTAGCTAAACAGGTCATTTAAAAAAATAATCCTGAAACACGTCGATTTTTGATGTTAATTTACCGTATTTTAAAATAATAATCTAATATACAGGGTGAATTCCGTTCGAGTAATGATGTCACCGTCATTTTTTTTTAATGGAACACCCCCATTTTGTCTCTATTTTCGGATTACTCTAGCTGAGCTGATTCCAAAAATGTATCACATGTTGATTCCAATTGGTACAGGGTGGACAAAAATACAGTAGTTGTGTGTGTGCTAATAAAGTAACGCGTAACATTCTTTATTAGGTAAATTAACAATATTATCAAAAATACTTAT